GTCATTATCCCACCTGACCAAATTGACAAGAACTCTGTATGTTAACTGTTATTAAGATATCTTTAAAAAAAATTTTTAAGAGATTTTATTTATTTATTTTTAGACAGAGGAGAAAGGAAGGAGAAAGCAAGGGAGAGAAATATTGATGTGGTTGCCTCTCGAGTACCCCCTACTGGGGACCTGGTCTACAACCGAGACACATGCCCTGACTGGGAATCGAACCAGCAATCTTTTGATTCTCAGGCCAGCATTCAGTCCACTGAGCCACACCAGCCAGGGATAAGATGCCTTTTAATCATTGGTTTATTAGCATCAGGACCCAGTAAGGTCCACATATTGCATTTAGTTATAATGTCCCTTGAGTCTCTTTCTGTAACAACCCCTTAACCACCTTTCTCGATAAGCCACTAATTTGTTAGAAAAACCAGGTCATTGATCCTTTAGGCTGTTGCGTGGTCTAGCTCTGGCTGCTGCTTGCTCATGGCACCACTTAATCTGTCCCCTACCCTCAGCATTGCCTGGGCACTGGCGGCTAGTTCTAAAGGCTTGTTTCAATCCTCGTTCACTTTTTGGGAAACGGTCCTTCTTAGGTGCTGCTGTGTGTTTCCCATGCAGGCAGCTAGGAAGCTGGAAACGTCCGGTGCCCCATTTTAGTGATCTTGATCTTGACTGTGTGTTCACCTTTGCGGCCCTATCCATCCCTTGTCAAAGTCCCCATCAGCCTTTCATGTAGTGGTTTTATCATCCATTGATGATCTATGTCTGCATCTATTATTTGTACTAGGAGTTGTAAAATGGTCATTTTTATTTTGTTACTCTTGTTTCCTTTTATAAAGGGGACTTACATAAAGCAGAACAACTTTCTTGTCAATTATGTAGTAACCCCAAAATATTATAGATGGAGCAACTGAGGCTCCGGCAGGTGAAGCCATCTGCCCGAGCTAGCAGGTGGTGGAGTGTGGCGGGAATCCTGCTTGGTAACTGCAAAGCTGAAGCTTGGTTATGCCACTTAAAGACTGCCCCAGCCCTGGTGTGGCTCTGTGGATTGAGCGCTGGCCTGCGAACCGAAGAGTCACCGGTTCGATTCCTAGTCAGGGCACATCCCTGGGTTGCGGGCCAGGTCCCCAGTAGGGGGTGTACAAGAGGTGGCCACCCACACATTGATGTTTCCCTTCCTCTCTTTCTCGTTCCCTTCTCTCTCTAAAAATATCCCACCACGTTGACGTTGACACCTGCCCCGGGCCAGCTGCGGCCGGGCAGTGCATGCCGCCTCCAGCTTCCTTCGCCTCTCATGCCGGGTAGTGGGGCCAGGCCCCCAGGTTGCCCCTGTCGTGCAGAGCAAGTACGCGCGGGCTCCTCGAGGCCGAGCCTGGGTCTTCCAGGGGCCCGCATGGTGTCCAGGGGACTCGGGAAACATCTGCTGGAAAGACGGTTCCAGCATCTCCCCTCAGGGCTCTCTGCCACGTCCCTGGCAAAAGTTTAACACTTGGTCAGTTAAGAAAATGGGGGAACCTGCCAGCGCCTCTGGGGTTCTGAGCTCTATTCTCCGCCACCTTCTCACATCAGGGCGCATGGACTGCATTGAAAAAGGGGAGCCATGGAGGCCCTTCTGCAAACCCCTTCCCCCGGGGGAACGAAGGGTCTGCACCAGCCAGCGTCGTCCCCGCCTCCCCAAGGTCAGAGGCTCCGCGCATGGGTGGCGCGGCTGTGCCAGGCTGCTCCCTTGTGAGACCTGGGCAGTCAAGAGATCTTTCCCAGGCAGGTGCCTGTCCTGCGTGTGAAAGGACGGGACCACCTAGTGTCCATGCCCACACCCCCGACAGGTACACACCGTGAACCATTTGTGAGGTCTAGCGTGTGTGCCGTCCTGGGTCCGGGGAGCAGGGCGAGCCTGGGAGACAGCTTTCCAGGACCCGCCATCGTCTGCCTCTCCTGGGGGCCGAGGGCCGTGGCCTGTGAGCCAGAATGGTGCCGCAAGCACTTGAGGGGATACTGTTAAAGCCCTCGAATCACTTGGTGTTACCCCAGGGGGCTGCAAAACCAATCTCCGCATGATTTTTTTCATCTCTCAGATGGAGAAGTTGTTACTTCAAAGTTGTTGTGAGAAAAAACAAGATAATGTTTGGGGAAGTGATTTCTAAACCACAGAGCGTTGCTCAACAACAGGGCAGGCGTGGGTCAGGCCACAGAACCGTCCCAGCGACGTGGCCTCCTCCCGCTTCCCGTGAGGACAGTGTCTGAGCTGTGGGAGGACCGGCATGGCCCTTTCTGGTAGGAGGCGCTGCAGCGCAGGGCAGCCGCTCCAGGCCCGGTGGGGAGACAGCGTGTTCCCAGGGCCTGAGCTGGGGCCGGCGCTGATTCGGGGCAAGTCTCCCAGCCTCTCTGTCTTCCCGTGAACAGGAGGGCCTACAGGAGGAACGCGAGAGAACGCAGAGGTAGCCAGTGTCGCTCTGGCGCTGAGGGAGGCACTTGAGTGCGAGCAACAGAGCCCAGGAGGAAGCTGGGCCTGGAGCCTGCCGCTGCCCCTCCTGTGGGCAGGGTCGGCCGCCGCCCGGGACCTCCTTGCTCTGCCCTTGGAACGAGGCCCCTCGGCTGGGCCCCGCCCTCGCCCTGGGGGTGCGGTTCTCTGGACTTCCCCTGCGCCCCTTTCCTATTCCCCTTGTTTGTTCATTTAACTTGGAATGATAAACAGAGATGATGATTTACAACCCAAGTCTTCCTTTTTAAGAAATATTTCTGGCACTGGTTTTCAATTTTGCAACTGTTCTTACAGGAGCTATTCTTAGGCGCGTCGCAGTGTCTCTTTTTCGGAGCATGCCGCCAATCTTTATATAGACACCTTCTCCATTTTTGAGTTTCTTTATATAGATATCTTCTCCATTTTTGGTTTCTAATCTAGATACATCTTTGGTCGGTGTGTTAGGGATCATTTTTTTTTTTTTTTACAGGAAAATAAGAATGTAAAGGGCTCTCCTAGGGAGAAACTTTCAGCTAAGAGCGGATGATGTGGCGTAGGTGGCGGCAGAGGATGCCGGAGACATTGGAGAGGACCAGGGGCAGGGCCAGGGAGCTGGGGGCCAGGGGGGTGGCATCCTCAGGTCAGGCTGCGGGCCTGGGCGCCCCCCAGGGAGGCCCCGGGGAGCCTCCTGTTGATGTCTGCACGTCCTGGCTCAGAATATCAGCCGAGATCTGCAAGTTGTGACGGGTCACGCAGATTGCCCTCCGGGTTCAGGCTGAGGTGGTTGGATTTGGGGGTTTGGCCATTTTCTGGGTCAGGCCCCAGAGGCCCTCTGGGGCCAGGTGAACCTGTGTGGGGACACGGGGCTGGCTGGTGGGGGATCCAGGACTTGAGCTCCAGCTAAGGCTCTTTGCTCAGTGCCCGCGCCCTCCACTCTCCGCTCTGCATCCATTTCAGCAGCGGGTCGGGTGGTCCCTGGGTTGCATTACAAGTTACTGGGGCGGGGGGGTGGGGTTGGGATTCCAGCGGAGCTGGTCTTCCAGGGCCTCTGCTGCAGGGAGATTCGGTGACCCAAGGATGGTGTTTGCCAGCTTGTCAACAGGTGGCAGCACTGCCGGGGATGCCTTTCAGGGCCTGGGCACCGTGCGCAGAGCGGTCAGCCTCCCAGGAGCACCCAGCGTTCTCACCGTGGCCCCAGCCCCCAGCCCCCAGCCTCGCAGCGTCCCTGTTCGTAAACTCCGGAGGAGAACCCTAACAGCAGCTCTTCCTTGGGCGACACCTGGGTTACTTTTTAGCAGGATATCATTAATTTGTTACCACAGCTCCTGACGTTGCCACTGGGCAATGCCGGATGACAGGAGAGCCTGCCTGGGTAACTGCCGAGGCCCCTGGGTGTTAATCTCTTCAGCGCCCTTCTTTGCTTCCCTGTGAAGTACCTCGTGTTCCTTTTGAAATAAGGAATAAAAATCAATAGACAGTAAAGTAAATGTTGTAAACGGCCTCGGCGCTGAGCCTGGCATTGGGGATTCAGAGACGGAAGGAAGTGTGGTCCTGCCTCCAAGAGCGGGCAGTCTTAGGGGGTGAACATGCGTGTGGGGGATGCATGCGCTGAATTGAAATGCAGGCAGTTTGAAGGCACACACGCTGGGCAGGGCCACAGAGCCTCCAAAACGGCACAGCTGGCTGGTGAGGAATGGACATCAGCCACTGGGAGACTGGGGAGAAATGGGGAGAAAAAGGTGCAAGCCCTTAGAAATGACCTGGGTGATAAGGGTGGCCTGGCTAGAGTGGGCCGGGCAGGTATTTGTGGAGCCCGCGGTGCGCCCGGCCTGGCCCAGGTGCTGGGGTCAGTTGTGCGCAGAGCGGAGCCCCTGCCCTCTGGGAACTTGTGTCTGAGGAAGGGAGGCAGGCGGTTAACAAATGCGGAGTGAGCGTTGCCTGTCAGCTGCAGTCAAGTGGCAGTGAGGGCGCTGGAGAAAAACAAAGCAGGGAAAGGGGTACCTGGGGCCTGGGATGGGTTGCCATGTTTGGGGACCAGTCAGGGCAGAGGCCTAAGGAAGTGCTGGGCAGCCGAGCAGAGACGGGGCGTGCGCAGGCCTGTGGCAGGAGGCGGCGGAGGCCCGGGTGATCAGAGTAGAGGATAGAGGTGGGAGCTGCAGGAGAGAAGGTGCAATCAGAGACACGAGAGGGGGGGTGCCCATCAGGCAGTCTCGTGGGCCCCGGTGGGGACGGCAGGTGGCTTTTGGAGAGTTTTGAGCAGAGGAGGGGCCAGCCCGGTCCGCATCTTAGAAGGCTCGCACAGCTGCTCTGTGGGGACTGGACAGCAGGGATGAGGACAGAAGCAGAGAGACTGGGCAGCAGCCTGTTCCATTAACTCAGGGGAGGCAGGGTGAGGCTGGGACCAACGTGCTGGCTGGGGCCAGGGTGACACATGGTCAGAGTCTGGGCGCAGTTTGAAGGTGGACATGGGGACCTGGGAGATGTTTCCCAGCACTGCTCCTTGCCTGGGGAGGAGGCTAACACTGTGGTCTCCTCTCTCCAGGCCAGCTTGGTGCTTACTCCAGGGCTTCTCTCGGGAGCCCCTGCTGCCAGGCACCATGACGGTGCGGGGGGCCGCACTGGCCCCGGACCCAGCATCGCCCACGACCGCGGCAGCCTCGCCCAGCGTCTCCGAGATCCCCGAGGGCAGCCCCACGGCCATGGAGCAGCCTGTGTTCCTGATGACAACTGCAGCCCAGGCCATCTCCGGCTTCTTTGTCTGGACGGCTCTGCTCATCACCTGCCACCAGGTACCCGGGCCCGTCACAGCCCCTGCGCCCAAGGGCCCAGGAAGGATCCTGAGAGGTTTCTAGTCCAACAGAGTGTTAGCCGGCTAAGGCAGGCACGGCCCCAGGAGCAAATAGACCCTGTAGGAGCTGATTTCTTGCTCACTCCCAGCCCAGCGCAGGTCCCGTTCCGTTTGTGGCCCTAGTGTCTTGCAGCTTCAAGGCATTGCCCACCTGATCTCTGGGAGGAGGGACCTGTGGCAGGCCCTCTGCATAGTTTACCTTCTAGAGCCAGAAATGACACTCGTCACTTCCTCCCGCCTTCCGTGGGCCAGAACTGGTCACGTGTCCAGCCTGAGCTGCAGGGAGCCTGGGGACTGTGCAGGAGCTCGTGGATGTCAGTGGCCCCTTTGCAGATGAGAAAATTGAGACCCAGAGAGGGAGAAGGGGTGGGAACTAGCCTGGTCACGTAGCCAGGTTGGTAGAAATCACACCTCCTGCCCCCTCTGCCCAGGCCCAGAGGAGCCCGGCGTGGGCTGAGACATGCCTTGGCTGCCTGAGGAAGGGGAGGTTGGAAGGTTATCAGCAAAGACGGAGGCTGAGCCTGTTCGGGCCCCGCCTCGGCTCCTTACGCACTGCCCTTGTGTTCCCTGTCCATTCTAGAACCCAGCTGCTTCCAAGGCAGTTGGCTCATTGCAGACGGGGAATATTTTGTTCTTTTCCTCTGGAGCCCAGGGTTCGGCCAGGCCAGGGGTGAAGCCGTGAGAGCTGTGATGGCGGCTTGGGCTGCTGGGACGGGGATCGTGGCTGGAACAGCTCTTGGCATTTGTGTGGAGCTTTTATTTTTCCCCCTGCTTTCTAAAAACTACATTTCATTCTCCCGACTGCCCAGTGAGGCAGGAGCGCTGCTGTGTGTCCCGGCTGGGGAAGTAGGACAGGGTGAGGACATCACAGCGGTCCCTGAGCCAGGAAGGGCTTCCTTCCGTCCCGCCCCCCACACCGTACGTCAGTTATGGGACGCAGGGGGTGGGCGCTCACCCGCATGCCCGTGTTTCAGCTCCACGGCCCAGGGACCAGGTATTTAGGAAGGTGGGGCGTTGGGGGCCACACTGAAAGTCTCCTTGACCCACTCAAGCCTGTTTGTGCATGAGGATCCTGGGCGCTCATTACAGCTGGATTCCCTGGCCTATCCTTGGCTCGGGTTTGGAGGTCTGGGGTGTGGTGTCAGGCCTCTGTCTGGGAGCCTGGCCTTCGCGCCTCGCCTGCACCCCACAGATTTTCTGCACCCTGCGGTCTGATGCTTGCAGCAGCCTCACCCCGGAGGCTTCATTGTCCCCACGTACAGGGGAGGAGGCCGAGGCTCAGGGTTGAGTATCTTGGTCACAGAACTGCCAAGTGGCAGAGCTGGCTATTCCCTCAGCTGGGCCCCTCCTCCAGCGGCACGGAGGGCCAGGGCGGGGCGGGGGGCACGCTGCCGTGACAGTCGGTCCCCGGCTGACGCAGCCCCTCTGCCCCTAGATCTACATGCACCTGCGCTGCTACAGCTGCCCCAACGAGCAGCGCTACATCGTCCGCATCCTCTTCATCGTGCCCATCTACGCCTTCGACTCCTGGCTCAGCCTCCTCTTCTTCACCAACGACCAGTACTACGTGTACTTTGGCACCGTGCGCGACTGCTATGAGGGTGAGGACCTGCGGGCGGGGCGCCGAGAGGGCCTGGGCCAGGCGGGCCACACCCCTCTTGCCGTGTCTGGGGGCCACTAGCCACCCTCCCCCGTCCCTCCTCGAGGGGCCAGTCCTCACTTCTGACCCACCTCAGGGCTTCCACCCAGGCCCAGAGCGGCAGGTAACTGCACAGGTGTAGCCAGAGCCTCACCTTGCTGGCTCCCTTTGCGCTGTGGCTCCTGCAGCGCCACCTCAGACAGCTGGAAGCAGCGGCCCTCCAGCTGCACCTCATTTCTCAGTTCTGGTGTCACTGGTGGGTGTGTGGGCAGGAACAGCCGTCCGTTTGTAGGTAGAAACCCCAGGTACAGAGTGGCTGGGGATTTCCCGGGGTCTGCAGCGCCGCGCCGCCGGCAGGGCTGGGCTTCCAGCCCCGCCTGCCTCAATCCTGAGTGCTTTGTCCCAGGAGAGGTCCTGCTGTGCCGCCCAGGAGGGTGACTCACCGCCTTTTGGGGGCCCCGTGCTTGCATGCGCTGCAAAGCATCGCCTGCTCCGCTGCGGAGCTGCAAGCACAACCAGGCCCAGTGCTTGCGCTGCGCCGCACCGAGGACCGCGCCGCCCCCCCCCCCTCCCCGGGAGCCCCGGGAGCCTGTGCCACCTCAACCGTCATCGCAGGGACAGGCTCATCGCAGGGACAGGCGTGCTCTCTCACTGGGCCCCGTGGTCCTGGCCTGGGGAGGGCAGGGAGCTGAGGCTTAGAGAACGAGCTGGGGTCTGGGGGGGAGGCAGAGGAGGAGTCCGTTCTGGGCTAAATCGCAGGGGTGGGAGGAGTCCCAGTGTGCCCAGCTTGGGGTGGGGGTCTGTGCGGGGTCTGGTGGCTGGAGGAGGCATTACACTGGGAGGCAAGGACAGGGACACACACAGTCTTGCAGACCATACACAGAAGCTGAGATCTTCTTTCTTACTGTTTGTTGATGCGTAAAAATATGACGCAATGGGAAATTGCAGGTTATAAAAACCTCTATGTAGACCGTGGGGAAAGGAGGGAGAGGAGGGGCCCGACGCCCCAGGACAGGCCAGGGATGCCCTGGCCTGCGCCCTGACAGGCCAGCAGGGTTGCGGGGAGGGTCCCTGGAGTCAAGATCCTCGCCTGGACGCTCACTCCTCTCTTGTGGCCCTGCGTCCCCATCTGCTGGGGCTGCACTGCCGGAGTCCGCGGTCCTCCCTGTGCTGCGCCCAGGCAGCGCTGTCTGTGACCGATTACCTGCTCCCCCGACCCAGGAGGGCTTTGTCCTTGGCCCTGGGCTTCAGGAATATTGGGGTGTGTGCTCGTCCCCCAAGAAACTGGAGTCTCTGTTCCCGCTCCACTTTGAACCTGCGTGTCCCTGAGGACTCGCAGGGCGTGGAAGGTGCCTCTGGGCTCGGCGAGGACATTCAGGCGCCTCACACACTGTGCCCCCCCAGGCCCCTTCAGCCTCACTGGCCTCCTTTCTGGCCAGGGCCCCTCGAGCGTTTGCCCATTGCCCACAGACCTCTCCTCCGGCCGGCTCCTCCGACACCTCCCTCTTGGCTCCAGTGCCCCTCAGAGAGGCCGCCCACGCCAGCACCCTGGCTGTGTCCTCACGGCCGCCCTGCGGTTTGCGGCGAAGTGCTGCCTGCTTGGTTCTCACCCTCCTGAGTAGACTGTGGGCTCTCTGAGCTGGGCCCATGGTAGAGGCTCACTCATTCTGGACTTTTTGAATGAGTAGGGGACCTTACAAAACACCTGCTGTTTGCCTTGTATTCACCCACATGGGGCCTCATTAAATCTCCTGGCTGGTGTTGCTGCCCGGCTCTGCCAGGTGAGCGTGCGGAGGCCAGGTGGGGCTCCAGCGCCTGATGTTCCTGGAAGCAGCAGGAGTGTCCCCAGGGAGACCTCTGGGGACCCAGGGAGCCACAGGGGCTGGGGCTGGAGAAGGTGGGGCCAAGCACCCTCTTCCACTCAGCTGCCAGCCTCGCATGGGTGCCCAGGAGCAGCCTCTGCCTGCTGGTCCCTTCAGAAGCGGAGAGCCGTCCCCTGCCAAGGGGGCCTCTCCTGTGTGGTCGGGGGCAGGCCCTGACGGCTGGGGTGTGGCACAGAAGGGGGCACGGCCCGGGAGCGTCCGCATCCCCCTCACTCCGTGCCCCGGAGGTGGTGGCAGATGGGGTGGCTCCCCCGACTCCAGAGGCCTCTCTGTTCAGGCCCTACCTGTCAGGACCTTCCTCCCAGCCCTGTAAACCTGCAAAGGTCTTCCTGGGAAGTCTGCATCTCCTAGCAACGCTGTTGTTACCGGGGCCCCTCCCAGGGAGTTTACAGGCGAGGCCTCAGCTGCCCTGCGGCCCAGGCTGCCTGAGTTCACCAGCGTGTGGTGTCAGAGTTCACCCTGCCCTGTGCCCTTTCCCGCACCTCTGCTCCGCGACTCGGACCCTCTCCCACTGTCCTCACACCTACAAGTGCTGCAGGTGCCCCGGGAACTGCCCCTGCAGGCTTGGTGATGGGGTGTCCCTTAAAGTTCAGAAAGAGCCTACCACTTTGTTCCACCCTTCCCCCTAGTCCCCTGAGACCCGGCAAGGGGCAGGGATGGCCAGGCAGACGTTGGCTTTTCTTCCCTTTCTTTTTCTTTTCCTTTTTTAAAAGATTTTGTATATTTTTTGGAGAGAGGGGAAGGGAGGGGGAGAACATCAATGTGAGAGAGAAGCATCTATTAGTTGCCTCTGGCACGTCCCCAACCAGGGATTGAACCCACAGCCTGGGCATGTGCCCTGGCTGGGAATTGAACCAGTGACCTTTCACTTTGTGGGATGATGCTCAACCCACTGAGCCACACCAGTCAGGGCTGCTTTTCTTTTTAACAAAATTAAACCAGCTAACATTTTACTTTTATTAAAGTCATATGTGCATATGGTAGAAACAAGCTGCCCCAACTCCTCCTCACTTCCAAGGTCACTGTACTTGCAACTTTTTCAACTTTTTTTCCCCCCTAAATAACCTAAGAATGTGTTCATTCTGTTGTTTATTGATCTTTCGATTTTATGTAGTATGAAGTAGTAACTTCCTACTCCGGAAGGTTTTTGATTTAGGCACTCACCTCCAACTATACACGCCCACACACAGTATTTTCTTCTTCGGCTTTTCAATGGGACTGTACCCAGTTTTTTCTAAGTCTGCATTTTGTGTTTGCATTATAACATGTCTGTAAATAGTGTTCAAAGCCGAGCCTTCTGGTGTCCCGAGATGACATTTCCTTGTACAGCTTTGCTTTTCCTCTGCCTACTATTGTCTTGCTCTTTGGTTTTCTCTGTATTCTGTGTATCTATCGTTAATTTGTTCCCAGATGCTTCACTGAGGACAAAGCGAGCCCTCTCTGGTGTGAGACGCATCAGTTGCTCTGTTCGCTGCGGTCTCCCTCGGCCGTGTTCCTCCGGGGGCCCTGCCCTTCTCGCGCTGGCCTGGAGGTCCGGCCCCAGCTGCTCCGCTGGGGCCCTGGGTCGTTCTTCCGTTGTCGTCCTGGGAATCCCGGTCCCCCCCCTGCCCCCCGCAACCACCTGGTCCCTGGATGCCATTTTCTCCTTGTTCATGACTCGTCCATTTGAGTGCATGTTTCAGGAGCTGCCAGGGAAGGGGGGTACGTGGGAGTTGTAGTTTTTGGAATCTGAAGCTTGTCTGCAAATATATATCGTATTGTTCTCTGTGATTAGTTTTCACTGTGAATACAATTTTAAGTTGGAAGTCACTCACTTGCCCTCTGAATTTTGAAACCATGTTTTTCACTGTCTTTTAGCTCAGTGTTGTTTTTGGAAAGTCTGCTGGATTCAGAGTCTTCTTTTTAAAAATTGCTTTGAGAGAGTGAAAGAGATCAATTTGTTATTCCACTTATTTAAGCACTCATTGGTTGATTTTTTTTTTTTTTTAGGATGTTATTTATTTGTAGAGAGATGGGAAGGGAGGAAGAGAGAGAGAGAGAGAGAGAGAGAGAGAGAAGAGAAACATCAATGTGTGAGTGATACACTGACTGGTTGCCTCCTGCCCCCAGCTGGGGATCTGGCCCACAACCCAGCCACGTTCCCTCTAGGGAATAGAACTGGTGACCCTTTGGTTCTTGGGCTGGCGCGTAATCCACTGAGCCCCACCAGGCAGGCTCATTGGTTGATTCTTGTATGTGCCCTGACCAGAGATCAAACCCACAACCTTGACGTCTCTGGGTGATGCTCTAACCAACTGAGCTACCCAGTCAGGGCTGGATTCTGATTCCCCCCCCTTTTTTTTTATTTAGAACTTTTTTGGGGGGGGAAATGTTACTGTATTTTTTTCCGTTGGATTCTGATGCCCAGTTTCTGTGTGTGACCTGCTTTTCCCCCTTGCTTCCAGGGCCTTTGTTCCCAGTGTTCCGAAGTCTCACCGAGGTGGGATGTTCGCTGTGCAGGCGCCTGGTGGGCCCTTCGCTGCACAAACGCGTGTCCTGAGTTCTGGGAGATGCTCTTATATAGTCCTTTGCTAATTTTGTCCCCTCTAATTTATTCCTCCTTTCAGGGATTCCTCTTAGTGGGATATTGCACTTCCTGGATCGACCTTCAAATTTTCTTTACTATGTTCCACTCTTTTGTTCTGTTTTTCAGAAGCTTTTTTTTTTTTAATTTACCTTAGAGCTTTTCTACAGAAGGTTTGTTTTCTTTACCGTGTTGTAAAACGTCAGGCGCTCTCTCCTGTTGTTTTATTTTTTTTATAGTCCCTTGTGCTTGCTTTGGAGAGAGTATCCCCCCTTCTGTGGGGCGCTCATTGTAGTTTTCTTCTGTTTCCTGCATCCCCTCTGTCTCCTGACTTCCATGTTTGTTTGCTTGCTCTTGGACGTGGGTGTTGGACGTTCTCCTCAACTGTCCGGCGTCCTTGGCTATTCTTCATATTTAAGGATGGAGCTCGCCCTGCCGGGCTCCCCGGTTGGGTGACAGGACAAGAGCCGTTTCCTGTGTCACGGTAATGCAGTGGTGGGTACCAGCCCCAAAAGC